AATCATATTATTAAGTGAAAGAAGTCAATCTAAAAAGCCTGCATGCTATATGAGGCCAGCTATATAACATCCTGGAAAAGGCAAAACTATAGAGACAGTAAAAGGATCAGTAGTTGCCAACAGTTAGCAGGGAGAGAGGGACAAGTAGGCACAGCACACGGGACTTTTAGGGCAGTGAAAATACTCTGTCCAATCCTATAATGGTGGATACATGATATTATGCATTTGCCCAAATGCATAAAATGTACAACACCAAGAGTACCCCTAATGTAAACTGTGGATTTTAGATGATAATAATGTACCTACGTAAATTCATGGATTGTAACAAATATACCACTCTCGTGTGGAACGTTGATGCTGGGGGAAGCTGTGCATATGTGGAGGCAGCTTTTTGTACTTTTCACTCAATTTTGCTGTGCATCTAACTAAAAACTAAAGTCTATTTTTTAATGTGAAGGAATTATCAATTTCAGGGAAAACAAAAATTTATACAGGAAGTCATAATTAACTATTTGGGTCACCCATAAAAATATTTACATAATCATAAATTTTATAGTATTGATATAATCGAATTTTAGAGAAAATTATACAGAATGGTGGAGAATAGAAAGAGAATAATGTGGTCTAAGAATGCTAATTCACACTTTCCATAGTAGAAATAATTAGATAATATTTAAATGATAAATGAATAATGTCAGTATGAGCACAATATTTACAAAATGAAAGTAAGCAAACAAAGAAACAGTTCTTAAAAAAATGAAAGTGGTTGCCTTTCAACAAGTACTAGAAAATGGGAAAAAACTCTAGACAAAGAGAGCTATTTCTGGCTATTAACTTTATTGTAATTTTAATTTTTAAAATGAGGAGGTCCCTATCTGGACACCATAAAACAAGACGCAGACCATAACCACCCTCTCTGTGCACCCTTCCTTCTGCTCTCCCTTTGCTGCAACAATGGGCCGGGTTGTCATCTGTGGCGTATGTACCATGCTCTGTAGGCCTGTGTCTTGCTCTTGCCCTATAATCCTGTCTTTCTTTCCTCAATAAGCCTCATTTTCATGCTTGCCTTAAATATATATATATATATATATATGTAATTAATATTCCAGATAATAAACAACATAGAAAGCAAAGATATAAATGTATGAAGTAATAAAATATGATACTTGTCATCCAGACAATATGGTTCAAATGATCTTTAGAAATTAGAGTTTATCATTATATGTTGAATTGTGCCATTATAGGTTGAATTCCCCCAAATTCATGTGTGTATATATATATATATATTCTAACCTTCAGTACCTTACAGCAGTCATCCCCAACCTTTTGACACCAGGGACCGGTTTCATTAAAGACAATTTTTCCACAGGACGGGGCCGTGGGGGGCTGGGGAGGAAAGCGCAGTAGGGGTGAGGAGGCGGAACTCAGGCGGTGATGCCTGGCCTGGTTCCTAACAGGTCACAGACTGGTACTGGGCTGCTGCCCTGGGGTTGGGGACTGCAGCCTTAGAGTGACTTTCTTTGGAAATAGGGCCATTTCAGATTAAACCAGTGAATTAGGTCATTAGAATGGGCTCTAGGCCATTATAACTAGCGTCCTTATAAAAAAGGGAAATTCAGACAGACTGGCACACAGGGAAAACACTATGTGAAATGAAGACAGAGATTACAGTGATGCTTCTACAAGCCAAAGAATGCCAAATATTGTCTGCACACCATCAGAGGCATAGGACAGAGTCTCCCTCACAGGAAGCCCGCAGAAGGAACCAGCCCTACTTACACCTTGATCTCAGACGCTTACCTCTAGAATTGTGAGATGAGATTTGTGGTATTTTGTTAACAGCAGCCCTCAGAAACTAACGTAGTTGCTCTATTAGAAAGAGGAACTCAAGGCAACTCAGTTGCTTATTAAATCGAGCACAGCTCCCTGCCAATATCCCTGAAATTTTAGGGGAAAAAATGAATTAAAGATACCATCCAATATATTATGAATAGTTTTTGTAAAAATATTTATAAAATTGTTAATTTCTCTTAAGAATTTAGTATTAAGGTAGAAAAGATTGCCTGGGGGATATAGTATGCTTCATTCTTTTAGATAATGACAGTTATGAGGGAGACACAACGTTCCCTTATAACTTGGATATAGTCTTGGATTGAGTGAGTGCCCAAATAAGGCAGTTACTCATGCCTTAGTTTCCTGGCTCAGTACCCACCATCTTCATTTTGGGGCTCGTATTCTTTACGCTTGTTTTAATGGTATATGTGTGCTTTATCAAAACAAGGCTCTTTTGCGGGGCAGTAGTTAGAATATACATAATTAGTAAATAAATGAACACTATGACAACCATGGCTCTAGTGGGCAGCAAACTCAACCGGCATCAATGCTTTTCTGAAGTTGTTTCTGTAGCTACAGTGACCAACTGTCCTGGTGTGCTGGAATTAAGGGTTTTCCAAGGAAAAGGGACCTTCATTGCAAAATCTGTGACAGTCCTGGGCATAAGAGGATGGTAACCTATCTGAACCACTGCTATATGTTATAGCCAACAACCATATTCTCACTGTCAGTGCTTTGGGCTCTGGTCCCTGTTTGAGATAATGATTACCCTGACAAATTCATGCATGGTTGTTTACTGATTCATCTAGTTTTTATGAGAACCAAATCTTGCTTCAACAGATGAGTAGCAATAATGCAAATAACCAAGTTCTCAGTTTCAGAAAATCCTCCTTACTATTCTTTCAAGTGGACCCTCATACCTAGTCATGACTTCCTGTGAGAGAAGGAGGTTTACAGAGATACATTAGATATCACCAGCTGTATACATTAGATATCATCAGCTATTAGGGAACCAGACTATGTTCTTGCTGGACTGCCCAAGCCTGGCTGTCCTCAAATCTTAGTCTCTGGTTGGTTGCCCTTTTAAACTTTTTTCTTTTTCCTCATAGGCTCCAGTGATTTATCCAGTTTGCTTTGATAACCAAATTTTAAATAATCAAGATTCTGAGAAATAGAGAACATTATTCCCTTCTTACAGTTGTCCCTCCAAGCCTACCTATGGACCTGATACTTCTACTGACACTAGATAAAATACATGGCAGACTTCCTATTTTTCTGGTTATATCCAGATAATAAAAAGTAATCTGAAGTCACCATAACTTCCAAAATAGTTTCTGTTCAGAAATTAATGTTTTTCTGGTGTTATAATAAAAAATCCAAGTTTTATTCAAAATTAAATTTCTTCCTTCATACAGGAAAGAGTTGTATGCTCAGTGTTTGACTTCTGTCTTTACTAACCTATCCCTTCCCTATCTCACACCTATTATCTGAGATTTCAGGCCCCTCCATACTTGGAGTGTGAACATGGCAAAGAGATGAGGAGGCAGGAAAGATATACAGGTACTAACAGAGCTGGGTGGCTGATGAAAGTGACTCTTTCTCAAGACACTTTTCTGGGCTTTTCAGAGCCACTGACTTGCATTGACTGTCTCATCTGTACATACATGATTTGGTTGGTGCGTCTTCCCTACTTATACTCAATTGCACTCCTTCCCTCAGACCCTAGGAATAGGTAGTGGTGCAGATTCAGCCATTATCCCCCTACCAACTGGTCTTGGAGAGCATTGAGAGAAAGCCTGTGTTAGCTCTCTTTCCTGATGCCCCACATCTGCTTCCAAGGACCATTGCCTTAGACCCATCATATGAGTATGTAGCAATGCACTTGCTTTCCAAATACTGCCTAATTTTTGTTTGGCCACTTAGCAAGTATCTCCAGCTATAGGCTCTATTGTGAAATTTATAAGGCCTGACTCAGAAACTAGTTGCCATGTCTCTCTGGTTCCAAGAGATACTTTGAAGCCTTTCTCAATAGGCTTGAGAAGAAGAGAAATCAGCCTCCACCCTACTCAACCACCACCATGGAGATAATAGCATTATAGCATAGTGCTCTCCAATCTCTAAATTCCCTGGCATTTCAACTCAACCCTTTCATATGTCCAATGTGAGTGTGTGGCTCAGCTTCCCAGAACGTGATTTAAGACATTTTCTGTACAGAATCTGCCCAGTCAATCTAGCACCTAGGTCACTTTGGAGTGAGAATACTTGGCACCTATTATCCTGCAGCATCAACTATCACTGAAACTGAAATAGTTTCATTTCCATCACCGACCCTCTCCCTTTGAATTTATCTTTCTCCATGACTTGCTGAGTAATAGAATGTGTTTCATGAACGTTTCCTTTAGCCATTCTATTTCTGAAAGACAACATTTGTCCATGTGCTATTGATAAGTCACATTGGCGTATGTGATCGTCAGTTGAGTGCAAAACTGTACCTTTTATTCCATTTGTAGTTGTGCATCAGCTAACATGGTGAACTTCATCTACATAGTTGTTGACTTATGTCTACCCTTCAAGAATTTGGTAATGATATTTCTTAAGAAATATTATGAACAATTTCACAATTTGACAAGATTGAAGAGATGCTTATTTGCTAAAATAATAGTATGGGGAAAAAACAAGTAATATTTTGTTTTATTAAGTAAAGGTCTTATAAATTTAAGCATTAGCCACAACATTATGTTAAATGTTGCAGAATTAAAGTACAATTTAAAGATTTAAAATGTGCAAAAAGTAAATTTTCTGAGGGAGAGGAAATACAGAAAATTTACAATATTGCATGAAATTCACTTGATAAAACACTTTAAGTCATTTCTTTTGTGATATTTAGAAGTCTTGAAAGGTAAAGACCCTTCTGTGTTACAATTAATGCATGTCATTGGTAATTTTCCTAATAAAACAATTGTAACTATATTATTATAGTCAGGCAAACCTTCATAAGTAGAATCCATACACACATAATTACTTTAGACACTTCATTGCTACCTGTGAAATACAGTATGGAGTAGAGGAAAAAAAAACCCCGTATTTCTAAAAGAGAAACTTAAAGCAAGTCAGTCCCAAATAAGCCCACTAACATTTATAAAGTAATTCTCATCCTTATAAATTGCCTTCTTGCAGGAAACAGACCTTATCCTGACTTTTAATATTTCAATGCACCGATCTTGGTGGATGGAGAATGGACCAGGATGTACGGTGACGTCAGTGACACCTGCCCCAGACTGGGCCCCAGAGGACCATCGCTACATCACGGTCTCAGGGTGTTTTCTGGAGTACCAGTACATAGAAGTGGCTCATAGTTCCCTCCAGATTGTTCTCGCAGTAAGTGTTGACATCCAACCGCTCCTAGTGCTTCTGTAATTGTTTTTATTTCTGTGCAAACTCAGTGCACACAAATGGAATCTGTGGGTAAAGTGTAGCCTTTTTGCTTTTTCCTCACTAATGCCACTTTTCCTGTGAATTTAACAGGAATTTTTCATGTTAATCCAATCCATCCCCTGGACTGAGTGCACTATTTTTCTTCAGCAATCAGTAAATAGCCTTTGTCACTATCAGCATTTTACATAGGAAATCCAATCAGTCAAGATGTGATTACTTGGCTTTTGGTAGACTTTTCCAAAGATTCTGGAGGGAAGATCAAGAGGGTTTTTATAACTAACATTCTATAATACTCAAATTTATAAAATTTCAATAGTTATCTTCTCCCCAGTGCTTCTTTGGGCTGTGCTGCTAGCAATGGGATTTCTCTTTTCCACTTGCCCTATTTCCTTCCTCTTTCTTCCTAAATTCCCCCCAGGTACCACCCCATCTCCTTTTATTCCCCACCCTCCTTTTTGCCAAAACAATTCAGATTTCCTGTAGATTTTAGTTCTAGACTTTCATGCCCCCATTTTTCACAGTACTGTTCCAATAAATAAGCCTCCTTCTACCAGAAGGCAGTAGAAATTATAAATCACATATTTGCATAACATATATCTATGTTATATAAAACATATTATTTTACTATGACAAAGAGATAAATAAAAGCACCCCTTCTCAAGAAGAATTTTTACTAAGGCCAACTGCATATCACGGGATATACAAAGTTAAGGCAACTTTATTGTATATTAGTCTATTTATTCATTACAGATCCTAGATGTTCAGAACTGCATATATTTTTCTTAGATTCCATGTAGGATCTGCAGTTGATATGCATAATCTTAAAATTGTTAGCAACAAATAATGCAAGTGGAATCTGTTTTTTATTTCTTTCTTCAGTTAATTACTTTGCGCATGATACCAACTCACAATTCTTAAATAACAAGAAATAATAGGTCCTTGGTAGAATAGCATAAAATTCAGAAGGTCATAAAATTCTCCTGGAATTAAAAAAATACATGAGTGTATATGAGATTATATAGCTAATATATTGTTATTAGATTCTAATGGACTATATATATGTGTGTGTGTTATCATAGGCTAAGTATGCTGTGTTAGTAAATACTTCCCAAATCTCTATAACTAAAAGCCATAAAGGTTTGCTCTTGTGTATCAGCAGGAGGCTTCACTAATCACTGTCACTAAGGAAACAAGGCTAGTGGAGCAGCCACTATCTTAATCATCATGGGTCTCCATGCCAGAGAACAAAGATAGATGCAAAGGGTCTGCTTTGGCATCTAAATACTCCTGCTTGGAAGGAGAAGCTCATTGCTCACAGCTCATTGTCTAGAACTAATCACACAGTCCCACCAAATCACAAAATGGTCAGGAAGGAGGGAGAGCTGCAAATATTTGGAGAACAGCATTAATGATGTACAAAACATTTGAATTATGTTCTTTACTAAAGCACTGAGTGATCTCCCTTGAGTATGTACAATCTGAGCCACTTCTTCCAACAAACAAAATCTTCTGTAATACTTTTAAATGTAAAATTGCTCATTTTGCTTATCCTAAAGATAAGTTAGATTTAATGGGATGGAAGTAGCCATTTCATTCCTTAAAATATATTTTAATCAAGTATTCACTCTCACATTGGAAAAGTGAAATATTTCTGTGATTTGGGGACAGGTAAAATATCTTTATCTATGTGTTAGAGATGGGTTTTAAACAAAATATTCCTTCTGTGGAATTCCCTGTTTTTACTGTACCCACAACATTTTGAAAAACCTCTACCTATGTTTCAAGGATAATGTGAAGATTCAGTTTATGTGTATGGATACTTACACATAACTATTTTAGAGAGTTATTTGAATTCGTGTGTGTGTGTAAACTATATTCACAGATTTATTAAACCCCACATAACATTTTGGCACACAGGGAATCTGCTAAAAAAATACATTTGGACACAGAAGCATATGTTGAGGCTGACATACTGCCCAAAGAAAAATATTTTTACATAAGTGAAAACCATCTGTAAAGGCAAGGTGGCTAGAGTACAAAGAAGATAGATGGTGTGTCCTGAAGAACAGATGTGATCGATATTTCATTCTACTGGCTCCCACTTCTCCTGTCTGCATTGCCCCCAGTGGAGTGAAGGAATAGTTTGAGCAAACCACCATAGGATGTGGCATCTTTACCTCCACCTTCTCCACCTGTTCTTCTTTCCAGGGGTGCGCTTCTTTTGCAATGCTGCACGTGGAACACCTGAGAGTAAGTGAGCACCTGTGCAGCTAAGCCATTACTTGGAGAAGTTTCAACACACTTTCCGCCTTTAGTCTTGCTATTGTGTGGGCAGACTCGGGCTGAAAGCATCTGCTGTACAGAAAATTTAGCAAATCTTAATGAGAGTTTTGTAATCCAAACCAAAAAGGGCTTATCTTGAGCAATTTGCTCTGCCTAGTTATTGGAAGCCCTCCAAATAATTGTTTTTTGTATTTATTCTGATCAATTCTGCTGTAATGATTAAGTGATGAAATAGTGTCTCTAATTTCTGTTCCTCCCCTTTTTCGTTACCCAAATCATCCCCCTGAGTGTTCCGTTCAGTGCAGCCTAGTGAACACTTCCTGAGTACTTGTCCCCTGCTGGCATCTAGAAAAACAGAGATGACAGGATCCCTGACCTTGAAGATGTCACAGTCAAAAATGGATCAAGTTTCCCCAGGGTACAAACCAGGTGCAAACAGGCATGTTTCGAGGATGTGGCAGGCAGAGAATATGGTTTGTGCAGTCTATGGCATAATCTTGGCTTCTTAATTCCATCCTGGTTTTTGTAGTCAGCTGAACTCTCACTCTTCTCACTGTTGTCATCAGTCTTTAAGCTGCCGTCTCTTCCAGGATATCTGGCTTAGATCTGTTTTCATAAACTAGGGCTCTCTTAGCCACTGCTCTTGATTAACTGCAAATCTCTCCAGCTCTTTTTCTCCACCCTCACTCAGCCTTTATTTTGCAGATTCCTGACCCCTGGCAAGCCTGTCACCCCGTTGTTCGGTTTTCTGCCAATCAACTCTGGGCTGATTTTGAAATTAGCATTCACAAAGCCCGCATTTGCATCGCACATACATAAGATATCTCCCATCTACAGCCAAAGGAAGACAAGTATAATATCCGTATAATTGGGAAGTGGGGCTATTAATCACACAGCCTCCAGGCGAGCAGAAAGGACTGCCAGAACACGATAATGATGAGGCAGGTGTGAGATCCCTAGCTTTCTCCTCCTCCAGCAGCATTTTCTTCTAGTTAGTATCAGCACATTCAAAAGGAATACAGGTGTGCACAGTTTTAATAAAACCAGACATTTAAAAATCCACATTTACAAAATAGGTAAAATAAATGTGTGTGGGAAGAGCCAGGGAGGAGATCAATTAGGGAAATGATATTATTCATATTACAAAAGAATTAATCAAATTCCTTCAATGTGTGATTAGAACTGCATGGATTACAAAATATATTCACATGAATTAATTCTTGGACTGTACAATAGTCTTCTGAGGGCAGCAGAAAAGGTTAAAAGCTTTTCCTAAGATGTCTTAGCCAGTAAATAGGGATGATGAACATGCTCTCCTCCAAGGATGGGAAACAGTTTTCAACCTGATTGCAGCCCCAGCTGATGGGTAATAGATTCTTGAAGCCCAAAAATTCAGAGTTGGTCAGTGGCAAGGGACAAAGTGATTTATTGGCTACGGCTGCCAGGGGTGAGGGAAATGGAAGTGTATCTGCCTCATATTTATTATGCGTATGTTACACTTCGCTTCCTGTAACCAAAATAGTGAAAAGGAAAGATGTTTTACAAACAAATGTGCATAAGTGATACTTTAAGTGAAAACATTTACAGCAATAACTGAAGTAACTATATATGTTCAAATATATGTTAAAATTTCACATAATTTGTTGGGGGGAAAGAAACACTTCATCTCTCTCTTTTCTCTAAAAAAACATCCAGAGAATCGATATTTTTATGTTTAATATGAACCTCTTCAACCCAAATCGCCTGTTTTTGTCTTCCTTTATTTCCTCTACTTTATTTTCTTTACTTCTGACACACTTCTAAGTTCATGGAAGGTTGACTATTAATTGTTTTAGCAGACTAGCAGAGGATATTGGTAAAAATGTAAGTAGCCTTACTGTTTCCTACTGCAAGTAGAGTTGGCTTAGACACCATATCCAAATGAGCAGGGAAGTCCTAGAAATTTTTACAAAAAAGTTCTAATATCTGGTGCATGGCTCATAGCTAAAAACAGGTTAATTGTCAAGTTTATCCTTTAGTTATATCTATTTCTGATTCAGAAAACTCTATGCTTTGTAAAGTGCAGGAAATGATGAAAATCTTTGTTCAGTAGAGTATAGTAAAAAACATTTGTAAATAAAATATGTATCCTCAGATCAATGAAGTCACAGATGTTTCCAATTATTCTGGGTTAATAATTTATGTTTGCCATTTGGCTTGCTAAGACTTGCCGAGGAATGCCATTGATGAAGAAGTATTCCAAACTTCAAATCCTTTTATCCAAATTGACTTGAGGTTGTGTTGGGAATGAAAAATGGGTATTTCTTTGGATGTTGCTGATGTGCTTGATGCATGCATGAGAGTGGCCTTATTGTACACATTGCTCTTTGATATTAATACCTCCCTTAATCTGGAAACACTGTTTCCCAATGATTTGATTAAGATTTAGGTCATGATTTTCATGTCACCTAGAACATTGCCATTAAGATTGTAAATCTTAAATCTAAGTCGTGAATTTGTGTTGTTTTAAAGGAATGAGTGGGAAAATAGTATAAGCTGGTACCTAGCTACTGCTACATCGAGAAATGATACAGTTGCCATGGCCATGGGAATATCCTTTGTTACGCTTATTTTAATTTTAATTTTT